GAGGAGGAGGAGGAAAAGGAGGAGAGGCTTCTAGTAAAAGAGGCTGGATGCAATCCGGTCTGACCCTGAGAGAAGAGTGTGGAGAAGGAGCTCTGGGAGGGATCACCGTTACCTCGCCCCCTCCCACCTCTCTCTCGAGCTGCCAGTCTTAATAGGCCAGTTCGAGGATGCCCCGTGACGTCACGTATGGATTGTACATTTAAACGGAAGGCGCAATGGTGGCGTGAGTTGTACGCTGTAAAAAAATGTATTATGGGGGGGGGGATAAAACAGTCGTTTAAATTGGAACAACTTGGAAATATCAATTGGCATTCATGGCGACGATGTTGATTCGCACAGCAAAGCAGGAAAGTCGTTTCCGCCCAAACAAATTGCTGAGCTATTACTTTCACTTGCATGGGGGGGAAAGATACAAGAGACGGTGTTGTCAACTCTGATTTTGTTGTTGTTATTGGTGTTGTGAAATGCAGGAAAGCCAGTTTTCAAAACTGCAAATATTTTGTTGAAAAGCCCAACGTAAAATGTTGACGTTTTTTTCCCTTGAAATGTTGAGTTCACGTAACTTTTTTTTTTTAATCGTAACCCCAAAACGAAACTGCAGTGCAGTCAGTGGTGGGATAGTAACACTTTGTTACTATACTTAAATATATTTTCTCAGTGCCTGTACAGTACGTTAAAATAGTTTTGTGTTGACGTTTTACCATTTAAAAACGGACACCTGTACTTTCTATAGGTTGGGAAAGTTCTTTTTCGCTCTCTCAAGGTCGGCGGTGACAAGGAAAGTTTAACACTGATTGAAATTTTGATGGATCGATTTGATTTTGGGGACTTGGGACAAGCAGTGAAAGCATTTTCCCCGTTCACGGCCTGATTTAAGAGTCAATTGTTTGCTGTCCGCACCATGATTGGCAGCGAATACATTGTCTTGTCCCATGACTATAAAAACTGTTTTTGGCGTTGAAATGTTCTCCATCTAATCTGGGGGAAAAAAAACCACATGGTGTTTTTGCGGTTGAGTTATCATTTCAGTTTGGTTAATTTCAGTCACGTTTTGCGAGCATATCCGGTGTTTTTATTTTTGTTGCATTTTTTTGTTGTTGTTGTTCAATAGCGCTGCGCAAGTTTAGATTGAAACCATTTCGTATGGTGAAAATCTACTTAAATTTTGTACCTAAGTACAATTCCGATTCTGTATTTTTTTTTTGAACCTTTAGTTCAGTAAAAGTGTCGAATCGATTGTTTTACTTTGAAACGAGTATCCGTGTCAGTATTTTTGGCAACTCTCGTTCCAGATAGACATTTTTCCATTTGAGCTATTTATTACTATTTATAAATCATGCTGTCTCACCTCTTTCCACCCCTCAGCCCCCACATGCAAAACCCACACGCAGCTCATCCCTCTCTTGTGCCCCCCCCCCCCCCACACACACACACACACACGCACACCCTACCTTAAGTGGAGTCAAGTAAAGTCCTTAAAGGTCAAGTCTCAGGGTCAGTTTAGATAAGAGACCCTTTGACATTGAAGTCTTTAAACGTTAAGAGCCAGGTCAGGAAACATCCCCGTTCAAAAAAAAAATATCCTGCTGTCTTCAGTTTTAAAGCTTGGCGCCATGACGTGATCTTCATCTCTGTCGGTGTATGAGGTCACACGCCACCCGCCCTCCCCTGCGCGCCTCCTTTCATTTGCACACGTTCACAGATTCATTCCTTGACCGAATGGCCTGATTGTAACTTTTGACAATGCAGTAGCTTATTAGGGATGAAGTGTTTTTTTTTTTTTTTCTGTTGACTTGATTATTGAGATGAAATGACACCCAGGGTCTGGTTGTGCATTTCTGTCACCAATTCACAAACATTCCGCGATTTCCCCTTGAGAGCTGATCCACTTTTCGTAGCGCGTCTCGATACAGCCCAACTTTTGTCGATTCGATCGGGCAGCCGCAAGGCAAAGTGGGTTTTGTGATGTGTGGCCGTGCATCTGGGCGGGGTCGTGTCATGAAGGACTTGGGGAGGGAAGCTTCAAATTGCTGCAGCCTCTGCTGTCCTTGTGCGCCCTCGCCTGTCCAACAGAAGTAAAGGCCCGAGTGGGTCCTCTCCCCTCCCCCAGCCTGCCTCCCTCCCTCCCTCCCTCCCTCCCTCGCTCCCTGCTTGCTTGCCGAGAAGTGTGGGGAAATTCCTTTGGGTTTTTTTTTCTCCCCCAACTCTTTCATCCGGCCTGTAAAAGATGGAGAGAAAAGGAGCACAATCTCGCTTTCTCCGTTACCCCCTCGAGCCGTTTGGATTGTCGTGATGTTTGAAAAGAAATCATTTTGGAGCACATTTTTGAACATCAACAAGCGCGTTTGAATATCGGAGAATAAAGCGACGCTGCAATTCCGTCCTGATTCAATTCAAATGCACAGTATTGCACAAATGCTAACTAAAGAACCGTTCTAAAATACAGATGCGTTGTACTAAAGTTAAATGCAACTGAACCGTACATTAAAAAAAAAGTGGAATGCATTTTTCAGTCATGCACATTCCACTTAAATGTGTGTGTGTGGGGGGGGAAGCTTGAAAAATGATTCAATGAAAATGTAAAAAATGTTTTCAAAACAACGGTTGAAATGCAAATCTATTGTGCTTAATTAAATGAAATACAACTCAACAGTATTTCAAATGCACTCCATATTGGATTTTTTCCCCCCTAGTAACTTTTCAAGCACTGTAACACTTTATATTGTCCACAGTTTGAACATTGAATTCGGTGATTCTGTAATGCATCGTCGTAAAGCTTCAGGGTTGCGTAAGTGTCCTATTAAAAAAAAAAATCTTTGTATTAAGAATGTTGGTTCAGTTGTGCGCATACATGAGACAGGAGCTTGTCTGCATTCGGTATCAAACATTTTGGTCGATGGCTGTCGTTGTCTCTTAGCAACAAAAACTCTCTTGGATGATTTCTTTGTTGTTTTGTGCTACCTGATGTTATGCAACCGGGCTTGGCCAGGGCAGATGGAATCTTGTGACCCTTTCCGAGATAACGCGTTTGAGAGGCTTTTGCGCAACCGTCATGGCCTTGGTTGCTTTACAGTAGTGTCACTTATATTGTGTGTGTTTTAGATAGGGAAGGACAGCGGAAGGGGCTTGGAGACTTTGCGGTGTGTGTGTGTGGGGGGGGGTCTTAAAAAGATGAAGACATACACAGGTGGAAGGGATGTGTTTCAGTCCAAAAAGTTTAGTTTGGCAAATAGCATCTTGACTTTTTTTTTTAAGTCGTACGTGGATGACGACAAACAGAGGACGTTGATTTTGAGCGATTGTGATCGTATCGGGAGAAAAACAAGACACTGGTGAAATGTTGGATTGTGAACGAGGGAGCATTGACGATGATTTGGAGAAAGCAAGATCATCCCTATCCGTGAATTTAACGTTGTGCAAGAAATCCGTCGAAACTGCATCATCGTTTGGCAGACCCGATGGTTCAAAAAAAAAAAAAAAAGATTGCTGTAATCTAAAAAAAAAAAATCGACACACACACATAAGATATGGGTGTATTTTTTTAACTAATTTGATGATGTAGATTTATTTTTTGTAAGTCAATTCATAACTTTAGCGTAGCTGCCGAAACGAGACGTTTTGATTGCATAAACTGTCGAGCCAACAAGCTCGTTGCTAACTAAACATGTAACCTGTAATGTGATTTTCTTCTTCGCACGTTCCAAACATGCATAGGCGATATTGACAGTAAAAATATATACTTTTGTTTTGTACTGCAGTACCTATCAGACCATTTCTTACTAATAGTAAATAAGTTGACTCAGTGCTTCTACTTTTAACAATCTTCACGCCCCCTCCAAAAAAAATATTAAATAAAAATAAAAATTGGGTTAACTCAAAACTTCAAGGCAACAAACCAATAAAATTTCGCTTTCGGCATTGGACGAAATATTTTGTTTTGCTGTTGTGAATATTACCTTTCCCGGATTTCACAACAAAGAAATAACCGTTTACGGAGCTAATTGTTCCTTGTATTGTCCATCTTCTTAGATATAAGAAACAAACAATTCGGCAAATTCTTGGGTCCAAACAGCTTGCTTGCTTGCTTGCTTTGCTGTGCCAATTGATATTGTTTCCTTAAATATCAATAATTTAGATTTTAAAATGTGTCTAACTTGAATTACGTCATTGTTTTCACCCCCCGCCCCCAAATACAAGTTGCGTTTTTACACTGTTGTCACACACGAGTATCTGTATTTTTTACTTAAGTCGACCTAAGTAAGTACTTTTGCCACCGCTGCCATTAAAATTGGGCCATTCTTTGTGACATAGAGCAGAACTCTACTCGTGACTTCTTCTTTGCAGGGGGAAGTTCAAGGAAGGGGGTGGGGGGTGCTAATGCACCCCTCACTTTTATGAGGCAGCAGGCAGCCCAACTTGAACTTGACCATGGAGTCTATGCAGTACTCGCGTAACCCAATCCACGGATAGACCAGAATTTTGGGGAACACAATTACGCACATGTTTTGATGCACTTTTAGGAGAAAAGCTTCGTAAATTGGACGGAAATCAAACAATTTTGTTGCCCCTCCCGTTTCTCTCATTCTCTCCGTCGCTTCAGTTTGGCCTTGAAAGAAGATGACGCATGCAGACGTAACTCGCTGACCTTGGAGCCAAACTCGTCCGGGTGACTACAGCTGGAAACCTTTGTCTCATCCCTGCAAACACTTTTACTGTACCTGGGCGGTACTCCAACGTTGGGCATGCGTTGAGCTCAAAAAGTGGCGCTGGGGTCATGGCATAAAGTGGGCCAACATCAGCAGCAGGGTAACACTCCAGGTGCAAAGCCGGAGTGTTTCACCAGAGATCGGCTTCGTCAGACTGGCATCACTTGAGAAACATGTTTACAAGTCTCTGCTTGCAAACAGTTTCTCGTTTTAGAGCCTTGCCGCCATTGCGTTCAATCTCTGCCCTATATTGTACTTTTTAAAAAAAAATTTAAACGGTTATGTGAAGAACAAGAATATAACGAAACGCGTGTGTGTGCGTGCGTGCGTGCGTGCGTGTGTGTGTGTGTGTGTGTGTGTGTGGACAGGGGTCATTCATTGCACGTGATGGGAGCGGCTTCATATCCAAAAGTAATGACGTCATAACGGCAAAACAAATACGCCACGAATCAATTACCGAGCGCCAAACAATCGTGTGGGGCACACCAAAAACAAACGTGCTTAAAAAAAAAACGCAAGATTTTGCTGGTCGACAATCAAAGATCAAACTTATGAAGGGTCGAAAAATGTAATGTGTCACAAACATGAACGTTTATATCCCTAAATGTTGTCACTGAAAGTCGCTCTTTATTGACATCCGAGTCCTCGATCTTGAACCGAACTCACCCGGTTGCATGCAAGGCCCACTTGTCTTTTGTCCGCCTGCTTTATAATTCTGTTTTGATAAGATTACATTAAATTCTGGGGGGGTGGGGTATGTTTTATTACGGGGAAGAAAGGGTTATATTGTTGAGTTTGTGATACTTATTCATCATATGTAGCCGACTACCGCGCATTTTCAGAATACAAACCACCCAGTTCCCACCAGAGACTATATCATAGATTATGGATCAGGGCCCCAAGCTTCTTTTAAATGTACTGTGGGGCCAGACTGATTTGATTTGAAAACTGAGATTCCATTTTAGCATATTATATACATCTGAGGGTTTTGTGCGATTGTACAGCGTGGAAATACGGTCCGTGAAAGCACATCCGATGCAAGATGCAAAGCAAGCCTGAAATGATCGCATGTGGTTTGGAACGTTCACCACCCCCCCAAAATTGATATATTATTTTAACATTATCTGTCGACTCAATAGACGTCCTCAACATTTTCTTTGATTATATGTTAAAGCGTTATGCAGTTCACGGCATTTTGAGACATTTCCCACGTGTCGAGTCCTAATAAATGTGGCTTTCTTAGTTTTGCTTTGGGTGTAAATCAGACGCCATTCCCAATACAGTTCCAATGTAACTACTGTGCAGCCTCGTGTCCCCCGTCTGTGTTGTTTTGAAGTGGACCCTGGATGTAGAAGAGCGGCAACGGAAAATTGCCACGACAGTGGTAGCCACGCTCGATCTCATTTCTGTAGAATGAATTGAAATAGTGGAAGTCAGAGTTTAATTTGGGTGCTTGTGTTTGGCGGGTGCCTGTTTGTGTTTGTGTGCGCGCCCCCCTGCTGGAAACTTGCATGTGCTCATTGGGAGGAGGTCTTGTGTCTGGACCGGCCGCACCTTACCGAGGGCGCCTTGCTGACAGCACGATTTGAACTTGCATGCAACTGGTAAACTGTAAGAAAATGCCCAAATCTTACCTCCGTGCAACAAGTTGGGCCTATAATTTCTACTGTCCCTCAGTCATTCGGTTTGTTTTTTTTTCCCCCTCCCTCGAGTTTCCTGGTGACGTCAAGACCCGTTCAGACGGCCCAAATCATATATTTGCTGAAGCGACGAATCCAGAAAGGTTTATACTGTATCTTGCAATCACACTGCCTGTTATGCATCGAGCCAATTTACTCATCTGGGATGAGGTCTATTGCAGGAACCAAATGTATTTCATCTGATGCATTTGTCTATATTTTACTTGTGCAACGTGAGCTAAATCATTCCAACCCCCTAAAATAAATATCTTTTTTTAATTCCATAATAGACTTAAGATTTTTTTTCATCTACAGCACGAGCCTTTGTTTCCCTGTAGAATTTTAACCCTAAAAATGAGCACAGTTAGAATGTGTAATATGAAATAATTCTTCAGACGATAACAGTGTTTTTGAATAAAAAAAAGAGAGTTTCTAAAACGCTGACAAAATTATCCACATTTTACACTTGAATATCGAATCGAATCAAGCTCTCGTAAAGTGAACAAAAAAGTGTAACTTTATTACTTGCCGTTCTAGTTTTTCAAAAGGGGAAAGGGCATGACGAATTTTAATATAACGCCAAAAACAAAACAAAACAAAAAACCCGATTTGGAGCATGCAGGTTCGTAAGGATCCAATAGCATCATATTTGTAGAGAAATATACTGAAAATGGTTCTAATATCTTTAAATGTGATTATTTTTGCACTGGTTTTATGAACGATACTATTTATTTTTTTCAAATGGAGATTACTGTCTATCAATACGCAGCAACCTACAGGGCTCCGTGAACTTTCCGTGTACTTGCTAGTGATTAAATACAGTGCCTTACATTAAAGGTTACGACAGCATTTACAAAACAAAGCCAAGAAAGAGCTCAGGTTCGAGTTAAAAAGTCAAACAAGATGAGCGAAAGCGTCAGAACCAACAGACCAAGAGCCATCGGTTGTAAACACACCAGACACACATTGAAGCGACGCGTTTACCCCTTTCCCTTCTTTCCCACCATTGTCACACGTATTTGCCAACAAAACACCCCCGAAAAGATCTCCAAATCATATAAACGAAACAAATTTCTTTGGATTCGACTGCAGAGTCTCCGGAAAAAAAAAAAGGTGCGCTTGATTCAAACGTCGCCGAGAGACATTGGAACGAGTAGTTGAGAATGAGCGAAGGTGCAGAAAACAAAATGATAGTAAAAGTTAATGTCCTTCAATAGCTTTCATTAGGACAGGAATTCTCACCCTTCTTCCGTTCTTTTCAAGCAACTCAGACGCTCCCTTCAAAGCCCTCAATGGCCCTCAAGCCGGACGGCGAGACAGCAACTTTCAACTTGACCTTGGCCTCCAGTGGCGTCCACCTCCCTCCCGTAATTAGCCCGAGTCACAATAGCCCCCCCTTAAGATAATAATCGGGCGCAATTTACACGTTGATGGCGTCTGAAAGCTTCATTTTTTTTCTGTCCCCTTGTCGATTTCAAGGACGTCCATGTTGAGGAAAATACGCACCAAACGTAAACATGAGCAACATTTTATAAAGGCTTCTTTGCTACATCGCTACACTTTGCTAGCCGCCGCAGATCGTTCGTGTCATTCTCCCCTTATGAATTTAATTTTGAAATACATATTTCAAGGTGTTTTGAAACGCAGCTTGCGTTTAAAATGGTGATTAGGAGCCGTGCACTTTGCTTCTTCCGGTTGCTCATGCATATAGGGAAGGAATGCATGGCGATTGTGCACGCATGTTTAAACTGGAGCTTAATGGGGCATGATTTGGAATTGACTTTATACCCCAACCTATCAACTCAATGCTGTTTTGTGCCATAGCCTCGATTAAAAATAATGTCCCCTTTTTTTTGTATGTTTTGTTCATTCAGATTGCGTATGGGGTGAATACGTGGCATATGGGCATGGATCCTGCCGTTAATATGTGCGTAATCGACCATGTTATCTCCCCTTGAGTGTACTTTGTGCACCATTAAAGCAGACGTTTTGAAGCAGATCTCCCATTGAAGAAAATATGATGTTGAGTCGTCTGCTTGGTTCTTGAGTTATTTCAGACGTTAGGCTGCAACAAAATTTGGCGCAAAATATTCGCTCCGTGGCTGCCTCGGATCAATTTACGTCTTCGCATATTCCTCCATTTAATTATGCCAAGTGGGGATGTTTACCGTCCCTCCTTTCGCAGACTCGGTCACGTGTCACCTTGTCGACCAATGATAACGCGACGTCAGGCGCTCCGGCTGCGCGTCACCGTTTTACGCTCTGGGAACCAGGATGGATCTTTTTTCACTCCGTGGGCTTTTTCGAAAAGAGCCAGAAGCTTCAATGTTGGACGGCGTGCTATGACAACGTCACTGCTGCTCCGTCCTCCTCGCTGCTGGCTCGACCCGTCGGTGATGTTCCTCTACGACAACGGCGGCGGTTCTGATGAAGTGAGCAAGAACATGGAGGGTTTCGCGGGTGGTAACTTCGCGGCGAACCAGTGCAGGAATCTGATGGCGCACCCGGCCTCCCTGGCACCGAGCACGGCGTACCCGTCCGGCGACGTGCCCGCAACCGGGGTGGGCGAGCCGGCGAAGCAATGCAGCCCTTGCTCGGCCTCGCAGAATTCCTCCAGCGCCTCCCTGCCTTACAGCTACTTCGGCAGCGGCTACTACCCGTGCAGAATGTCGCACCACGGCGGAATCAAGTCTTGCGGGGCTCAGCCCCCCTCCGCCTACGGGGAGAAATACATGGACACGTCGGCCCCTGGGGACGACTTCACCTCCCGGGCTAAGGAATTCGCCTTCTACCCCACGTATCCGTCAGGTCCCTACCAACCTGTGCCTAGTTACCTGGATGTACCCGTGGTGCCCACTCTCGGTGCGCCTTCGGAGGCCAGACATGAGCCATTATTGCCCGTGGAGAGCTACCAGCCGTGGAGCTTGGCCGCCAACGGCTGGAACAGTCAAGTTTACTGCGGCAAGGAGCAACCTCAGTCGGGACACATGTGGAAGTCCCCCCTTTCAGGTAAGCAACCTTGAATCTGCATTTTTTTCTTTCTTTGGACCTTTTTGGGGTCTTATCTAGGCAAACTACCATGTTACAGCTAATGAACATACTGATCTTTATTTATTTATTTATCCTTTTTTTTTTTACACGCAACCCTTAAAGCTGCTCGGCTAAAAATAATCCAATTTTGTTCAATTTGACCCAATTTGGGGTTGTTTTGTCAAAATAGACCCATTTTTATGGGGTTGTTTTGCACGAGGGAGTTGGGTCGGTCCAATTTTTGAACCAAAAAGGGGGTTGTTTTTCACCCATTGGTTTTAAGCGGGTATTTACTGCGATCAAAGTTCATTTTGCACTCTTTAATTCGTCACGGTTTTTGTATAATAATATTTGTTGTTATCTATGGGAAAGCCACTCATTTTTTTTTCCCTACACAAATTGCTCCGTTGTGCACGTTGCACTTGTTGACGCTCTCTCGTCCCCGCAGACGCTGCGTCCCACGCAGGCGGCGACCCCGGCTCGTACAGGCGTGGGAGGAAGAAGCGCGTCCCGTACACCAAGGTGCAACTGAAGGAACTGGAGCGGGAATACGCTGCCAATAAATTTATCACGAAGGACAAACGGAGAAGGATATCTGCCCAGACCAACCTGTCCGAACGGCAGGTTACAATTTGGTTTCAGAACAGACGCGTTAAGGAGAAGAAGGTTGTCAACAAATTGAAACCAATCACCTAAGTTGCCCCCCCACCACCACCATCACCTTCCTCCACGTATACACACACACAAAGATTCACACGCAATGGACTGATTTGGAACAGCCATAATTTGTCGGTTGATGACGTCCTGGAGCTTTTTGGAGCAAAAGCAAAAAATAAAACAAAACAGCTGCTTCTTTGTTGTCCAACGAGGAGAAAAAAAATAAACACTGAACTGCCGTATTTGTGACGTTTTTTTTTTTTTTTTTTGCTCACTCTCGTAGAATGGTGCACAACGAGCTTCCACCTTTTTATCTGCAACTTTTAACGAGAGTGATAAATGCGAAGATCCGTGGGGAAACGACGGTATTTCGGATTTGGACCTTGGGAATGTTAAATATTAATCTCCCTAATGGCTTTTTCCTTTTTTTTTTTTTAAATGTTATTTTATTGATCTTACCCACATGTTTAGCTTGTCGTGCTTGTTGGAACGCGTGTCCTCGTTCATGGTGCAATTCTCGAATGCTCAGATAATCTTCCGGGATATGTGTTGATGTCGTGCATTTATCTTTCATAATGTGTGACTTTCCATGTGGTTGTATATAAAGAAAATTCTAGCATGACGTCAAGTTTGTGTGTGTCCGTGCCAATAAACTGTGTATTTGGTTAATATGCATCACAAATTGTTGAAAACAGACTATTTAATATCTAGAACTATATAGTTATTTAAAATGCTTTTTTTGGGGGTCTTTTTCCCCCCACGAATGTTTATTTTCTGGCTTTTACTGCATTATTTTAATTTACTGGTCAACAATTTCCTCGCAACTTCACCTTGAACGTGTCTTGAGTATTAGTTTGGAATTGCTCACATCGTATTAAAATACTTATAAGGAAAATAAATATGTGAAGTAAACAGATTTCCATGAAAGATGAAGAGGCAAACAGCGGATTTGTGCTGAAATGTAGATAAACGCTGCCATCTAGCGGCCATTTTGTGACTAGCATGATTGAAATCATTGCAACGGCATCACCTTTCGATTACATATCTCGCGTTGCTGATCATAATGCACTATTTTATGTATTATTGACGATAGTATAAAATGTATTGAGGATGTAGGAATGTATAGTAAAAATTTGAATTAATAATAATAATCAAACTCGCATGCTCCACTTGTTAACTGTATAAAAAATTTCCAGTGCACATTGGAAGTCTTACAGGGTTTTTATTCCTCTCCTTATTGTGCTCAATTCAAGTCAAATTTATTCATTGTCATGCAAATTGCTGTTGGACATATTTTTATAATTTTCAGCAATATTTAGCGAAAAGAAGCTATTTTAATTTCTGTGGTTTTTTTTTTCCAGAAATTATATAAGATTCAGCTTTTGGTGTATTTTTTTGTTTTGTTCTTTTAAACGTATATATAATTTCCGCCCTTGCATCCACTCGTTCCTAACGTCTCAAAAATAATTTGTCGTTCGTGGTTCTTCTTCTGCAACGATTGTCATGTGTTCAAAAACTAAAATATATTGTGCCTGTAAAATGTGGATCGGGTTTTTAAAATGGACGTGTTTTATTTTAATTTAATTCGGCGGAAGGGCCTTTACAAAAGTCGAAACGTCACTTATCGAGCGCTCGCGTCGAAATGCATTCATCGATGTTTTGAGTGAGTGACTAAGTGCAGTTGCACGTGAACAAGCAGCATTAGCTATCTCATCGCGCAAGTTTGCTTTGGCTTCATCAACCCGTGAGTCAGTGTGACTGTGAGTCAAATGACAGCGTAACTCCCCTGACAAGCTCACTCACATTTGGTGATGCAACCGTGGCTCATTTTTTGTTTCATAATCGCCTCGCCTTAATCAAAAACTGCTCACAATTATCATGGAATGCCTCTTAGGGATTTACAGATTGCTGCATGGTAACATTTTTTCAAAATTGATGATTCGATTCATTTGGCGACAACGAATTAAGATTGTTTTGGAACGAGTATTGTAGGTTTATTTACTTTTTAAAAATGTTAGAACGTTATACGCGTGCATGTCCCAATATATGTAATCGGTCAGCGTTGTTTCTAAAATCGAGGTCCAGTCATAGGCAAATAAAACAAATGGATAGATAAACCGAAAAAATCTCCGTGTGTGTGTGTGTGTGTGTGTGTGTGTGTGTGTGTGTGTGTTTTGTTTTTCTGGAGTTTTTTTACGCCGATTTAGCCACATATGTGCTATAAACCTTGTACAGTGGAGTAAACTTGAGGTCGTGTGTTTTTTTTTGTTTTTTTGTTTTTGTGGGGGGACTACTTTACGACGTATGTGTGTATATATGTTTGGTTGGATCCGACGTCATTTTTTCGATTTCAAACCTTGCTATTTGTTTACACCTGTGCAGCTATTCAGTGATTAAAGCGAAGCTATTCCACTCAACTTTATAGATCTTGAAATCAACAACTGTACCTGAAACAAATGTACATGAATACAATCGACCATAAAATCTAACACAATAATACAAAATATAAGAAATATTCTGTTTTAATAGGAATATAGATCTTTAAAAATCTGAATTCTCGTCTAAGCCATTGAAACGCTTCTGAAGTATCGTAGACTAAGCACATTATCTAATTTTCGACTCGTGCTTGTCACTTGACTTACTGAGGACCCGCGGGGCGTTGCGTTCGCGTGGCCGCAGCTCTCGCGTTGTGACGTCACCTTTGTGTTACGCGCACGCCAACTCCGCGCTCTTGGACATGCGCAGTACGCTGACACTACGGAAGTTAGCAATGAAGCGAAGGACGACGCTCATTGGACGCCAGGCGGCAGGGCGAGCCCGATTGGTTAATATGAGGATAACACAAACCCCAGTCCCCACTCCCTTTTATTGAGATGTAATTTGAGCAGTTGTAACTCCTAGCACGCCTCCTCCATGGTCACGCGGGAATTTTATGACTGGAACGCCCTTTTGCGTTACAATGGAGTGGCCTGCAAAACATTGACTTCTGCTGCCATCTTAAGGCCAAACTGGGTGTTGCAGAGATTGGCTTGACCTTGCCTTTTACCTTCCACGCGTCATTTAAATTGAACGCAAATAGAAATGGATCATTAGGCAATATTTTTTTAATATGTGAAGGAAAGGGATCAGGTTTCAAAGCTACCCCTCGATCTTTATGTGTTGACCTGATTTAATGACTTTGGAAATGCGGTTAATTGTATCTTAGTAAAGTCGCTAGAAAGGGATTGTGACGCTAAAAAAGCCCGGTTACTTCATAGCAGGCCAGCGAATAAGTCGGCTGCCTCTCAGACGTGCTTGGAGCCAGACGAGGCCAACAGCAGTAAGCATTGTGCTCTTTACATTGACCTTCGCTGTCTGCAAGTCATGGAGGCGAGGCCCGTGTGCGCGCGCACATACACAAACAGACTCGGCGACTAATATGTGGCCCGGCTCGGCAGCTCAAGGTTGGACCATAATCTCACATCCGCCCCCAACAAAATTCAGTCCAAGACCGTGACAGCTCGCAAATACAGCGCGTGACCGACATCACGCCAAATCCTCCGTGTCCAGAATCGGCGCCTTGGTCTGCAACATCTCGGAAATCCCCCGTAGCTAAACTCGTTGGCTATGAGAATTAAATGTCAGAATTCATTGTCTGATAATCAGATGTAAATGTAGATAGGTGGCCCTGTTTTGGATTATACCAGTGAATGACAGTCACGTTTTTGTCTTTTTATTATTTAGATTTTTGTGAGTCTGACACATTAGTGCAAAGCATCTGTTTGCAGCCACAATTTAAATGAGTTATTTTGTTAATTTGGTGTCTTAAAACTGAACAAAAAAATGCAACTATTTATTTGTTGCTCTGTATTTGCCCTTTTTTTAAAACGATTCCAATTTATGCCGTGTCGTTTTATAGTCTGAATGGCCAGCAAATGTAGCACGTATATGTCATGGGGAAAAAAAAAAAAACTACAGTCGTTTCCCTTTTCATTTCAATTAAAAACAGACCGCTAGTGAGAGTTTTTAAACGCAACTGCTAAATCTAAAACACGGGAGGAAAAAAAAACTGCCTCGGGTTGTAACGCACGTGTTACATCTTTCCCCTTTTTTTTCTTTTGACGTGTAATATTTTCAAAATGTGACCAAGGTTCAGTTTTTAATTCAACCCAACGGAGGAGAGAAGCCATCGCGTTTGTATACCAAAACCCAATAAATAAACTTAGATTCGTGTAGATCATGTTTATTTCATTTGGAACTCCTCGATTGTCGTGTTGGCTTTTTCCAGAATGTGAAATATCTTTTCGGGGCATTCTGTGTTGAAATGCGTTTTACTGCACACATGTGAAGCAGTGTGTGAATACATTGAGTTTCCACATGCTCCCCATTTTCATTTATTGTGGCACTAAAATCCGCTTTCTTCCCTTCTGTCTGGGTCCATTGTGTGGCGAAATGCGATCCACGGGCAGAGCCGTCATTGTGGAACTCCACTGGCGTGTCCAGAGGTGCTCCCGTTGACCGTGGAGTTGCTCACTTCCCTAACGAGGCTTTTGTGTGGTCCCGGTATACTTTTCTGTCACCTGAAGGGGGGAAAGAAACAACTCATCAGATGCGCCTCGAATCAGGTTCTTTCCTTCTTTTTTTCCCCCTTCTTCTCTTAACTTACTTTTTTATGTCCTCGTCCTCTTTTCCGCCCCTAAACTCTTGTGAGCTGCAAAATGTTTTTGACCCTGTTACACCCAAATGGCTTTTACACTCCCCGTGCAACTGCAGTCATGGCGTCGGTGCATGCAGACGGCAAGCGTGGATCATTCAAGTTCAAAAACAAGATTTGCGTGGCGAATATTAGGTGGAAATGTTGCTCTTTGCGATATTTGCATATTAGGTGACGTATTTCGGGAAAGCAGAAGCATTGCGCACCAGTTAATTACCCGCACCGGAAAATTGCTCCGGTCGATACTTAAACACATCTGACATGTATTTTTTTTTCTTTTTCTTTTTAATTCCTTCAACTTTGATTCCAAATGCGGATCTGCACAGTCGGAGGCTGTTTCTCGTTTGGAAAGTGAGAGCGTATTTTCCCTTTGAGTTGCAGGTGTGATAGCTCTTTTTTTTCCACCATAAAATGAAAACAAAACCAGGCAGCACTAAAAGCTGTGTGCCTTTTTTTCCACTCAAGGACTCAAACTACAGGAGGCTTCTTTCTGCAAGGGCTGAATGCGCCCATTTAGGTTGCCTGCTTTACAGCCCGCAGGCCTACCTGATGTGGCGTTAAACTGTACCCTCGGATCCTCCTCACCATGAATTGTTGACTCGGAGTCTAACGAGGCTTTATGGCACACGCCCGGGTTTGGTCTATCTATCACTTGTTTTTCTGAATTGGGGGGGGGGGGTGAAAATGCACTTTCCAATTTGCCTGAATGAAAGAATGTTGAAATGGTGCTCGTTCAACAGCTAAAAGGTGAAATGTGTGCGTGATGTCGACACATTTTTCCTTGAGGCAAAGCGGGATTGCTGTAGTTTCTTGCGCAAACCAGAAAAGGTAAAAAAAAAAAATCCATAAGTTAGTTTCAGTGTGGCTTTTTTTTTCCTCCCTATTTATGATCTTAAGTTTGTTTGTTGTTTTTTTTTCATTCAAAATGGCGAAGTATGTCAATTTAAGAGTGGACATTGTTTCATTCACGGTAGTT